CTACACATATGAGAAATAAACCTCTAACTGTAGAAATATTGAAGTATAAACTTGTACGCAGAATATAGTTCTAATTATAAAAATACTGGAATATAAGTTTCCACTGCTAGGTGTACACAGTATGAACCTATAACTGTGGAAATATTGAAGTATAAACTTATACGCAGAATATAGTTCTAATTATAAAAATACTGGAGTATAAGCTTGCATTGCTAGGTGTACACAGTATGAACCTTTAACTGTAAAAATAGCGAAACATAAACATGTACGAGGAATATAACTCTAACCATGAGCATACTGAATTATAAACCTCTAGTTCTAGAAATAGAATAAATACATCTCTAGCTGTTTAAATACTGGAGTATTCAACTGCATTTCCAGAAATACACGATATAAACCTATAACTGTGGAAATACTTAAGTATAACTTGTAGCCATTTATACAAACTGTTACTAATTGCGAGGGATTGTCTGTTTCACAGGAACGAAGAAAATGGAATATAAGGGGCGTCAGTGGCACGAGAAGTGTTTCTGTTGTTTGATGTGTCAAAATCCCATTGGAACCAAAAGTTTCATTCCTCGGGACAACGATATTTACTGCACTGTTTGCTATGAGGAGAAGTACGCCACTCGTTGTATCAAGTGTGATCAGGTATGTCTTGGATGTGGATAAAATTAAAACCTCTGGAGTATTTATCTGCAGTAAAATACGGTGAATAATTTTGTATCCATCTATGGTTATCCATATGATAAAATGCAATATAAAATACGGGATTTATCTATGGTTATTCAATGCGAAATAAATTGTAGATTATAGTATCTATGCATAATTAACTACAGTAAAATATAGTGTAGAATATCGCATCTATCTTAATTAACTACAGTAAAATATAGTGTAGAATATCGTATCTATCTTCATTATCTACATTAAAGTAGTGTAGAATATTGCATCTATCTTAATTATCTACAGTAAAATATAGTGTAGAATATCGTATCTATCTTCATTATCTACATTAAAGTAGTGTAGGATATTGCATCTATCTTAATTATCTACAGTAAAATATAGTGTAGAATATTACATCTATCTTAATTAACTACAGTAAAATATAGTGTAGAATATCGTATCTATCTTCATTATCTACATTAAAGTAGTGTAGAATATCGTATCTATCTTCATTATCTACATTAAAGTAGTGTAGG